AAATTGATTTTTTTTTTTACTTTATGTATTATACGATGATTCAAAACAGTTAAAAACAATTCAAACAAAGATGATAGGAGAATCATAATTCTAAATCTTAATCAAATCTTCTAAATATCTAAATTATTAAATATGGAATATCCGATGTATGAGTTGGGTTATATAAAACCCGACCCAACAAACTTTTTATGACCAAAATTTGGAAACGGGTCGGGCATCCAAATAATCCGGGAGCATTTTTACCCACTAGTCACCAACTGCAAAAATACTAGTATAGATACGTATCTATAAAACTAACATGATTTGGGTTATGATTGCATCGAGTTATATATTGCATCCAACTCATGTGTTAAAATGTTATTTAACGACAACATCTTGTAATCTGCAATCTTGACTCTCGTACATTTTTTTTTCCAAATGTACTTTTCTCAAACCTAAGCATCTTTCTTTGGTTAAAAAAAAAACGAATTTAATATATGGCAAATATCTAAAATGTAATGGTTGATATATCATAATTTTTACGGTTTTTAACCATGCTATATGTATGGTATTTAGAGTCTTTTTTATTATTTTTACAGTCTTTTTGAGTCTTTTCAGATATTTACACGATTATGATGCATTTGGAGATAAACGAAGAGTTAAGCTGAATAATCAAATCTGGAGTCAGATCAAGGTGTGAGTGTCGATCGACACCCCCTTGGTGTCGGTCGATACCGGTCGCGGCCCAGTATAGTCTCGAAGATTTAACAAGTTTTGAAAACTTACAGAAACGCCCAGAAGACTTCTCTATTTGCAATTTAGTCCCTGAACAATTTTAAGAACTTAAAAATAGATTTTTGGGTCATTGTTGAGACCTATCTTTTTTATCATCTTTTACTTGGTAATTCTTTTGGATTTTGAGAGCTTGAACCCCTTGGAAGATAATTGGAGATAACTTGTTTTTCAGAAATCCAATCCCTGTAGAGAGAAGATCTTTCTAATCTCTTATCTGTTCTTGATTTCTTTGATTTCTTTTATACTTTCTATTCAAAACATGTTTTCTATTTCTATGATCATGTATGAGTAGTCTGTTTGTTAGGGTTAAAGATTCTCATAGGGATTTAGATGAATTGTTAGATCTAATAAACTATTAGGATATATTTATAGAGTTCTTCATCTAAGATTATTCTTAAAACCTATTTTAGAGTAACTAACTAGAATATGATATTAGGATTAATTAGCTAGAGAGGGTGATTTTCCCTGAACTATCTCAGGTGAGCAAAAATCCCTATTCTCAAAGAGATTAGGTTTAGGTATTTTAGGAATTCATAACGAGAGTTGGAATTCTAAATTTTAGGCTTAGTAGACCTTCAAAACGAGTGTTGGTCGGTTTTAATTCTGTGATTTGAGTTCTACGACGGTCTTTAATAAAATCCTAGCAATAATTGATTTGCATTTCTGATATTTCTTGAGAAATTTTCTGACCCTAACGTTTTCTCTATCTGAATTTACTTCAATTTAAATTGATTTATTTACTTGTCCAGTGGATTCGTGTTATACCGTTACTTAATAACAATTGTAAACTATAAATTATTATACAATTTGCAAAATTTTCTATAAACTAACTTTAAAAATAAATCATCCCGCGGTATACCGCGGATTGAAATCTAGTCATTTAAATGTAAACTCATTGGATTATGAGTTAGTTTATCCATTTTGACACCCATAATAATGATAAAAATGATAAATAATTATTTTTTTATTTTAATTATTAATAAATTATTATTTATTTTATAGGTTTATGGGTTGAATAGACCCTTTAACAAATGAGTTAGATCAACTCATAAACTAACTGGGTTGTAGTTTAGATTGGTTTTTTCCTATGCAATTATGACGAACAGTTCACACAAACAACGATTCTACGACGTAGCTCCATTTTCTTATATAGAAAATGGTTTCGTCTCGCATATTCATTTTCTACAACTCATTTGTATTGATATCTTCGTTTAAATTTTCTAATTTCAATTCAATATATATATATATATATATATATAATTCATATTTTCTTTTGGATAGTTTTTTTTAGTTATTTATATCCTTTGGTTCATAATGATGATAATAAACAAGGCTTTTTGCCATAAATTATTTTTGGATTTAACTTTTATTTTTATATAAATATTCAGCATATATAGATTTAATTTTAGAATAAAAAGAAAGTAAATCTGGTAGTATTAAGTTTTAATTTTAATATTTATTATACATATTATTATTAGAGAAAAGAAAAATTTGGGTTGCCAAAAGATAATTATTTCTTAAAATGCAATTTTATATTTATTTTTAGAGAAATAGTAAAATCAAAAATTACACGTGACAAAAACAAATTTACTAGCACTAAATATTTTCTTCTTAGTTATTTTTGGGAAATATATATTAATATGTTTCCATATAGTTTTTGTATAAATAATCGGCACGCAGTTTAAAGTATTATCAAACTTAGAGTTTCACGAGAGAAAGAAAAACAATGAAAAAAACGATCGTTAGATCGTACATTAGGTCAAAAGTGCCGCCTATGCGTTGGACCGACGATCTTGACCTCCTTTTTACTCAAGTTGTTGAATTACTTGGTGGCGAAAGGAGTAAGCGGTTTTCTTTCCATATCGCAAAATTAACACAAAGACGATTCCTTTGAAAAAATTCAGAGAAATCAAAATTTTCGCCATTAAAATCAACAATCTCCTGTTTTTTCCTTTAAGATACCTCCACTGTCTCAATTTTTTTGATTATTATATTTTACGCATGATAATAATTTTCTTTATATATTTTTTTTATTCACTATAATCGATATCAAAATTCTCCTTAAATTTGCAGAGGCAACTCCTAAGCCTATTTTGAAGTGTATGGATCTGAGAAACCTCACAATATCACATGTGAAAAGCCATCTCCAGGTCTTTATAATTTATATACACATTATCAGCTAGCTATATAAGATACGTCTATATATAACACATGTATATGCATCAATGTATAGTGTCATAAATTATATTATCTAAGATGGTATGTAATGAATTAAATATATCTGTTTACTTTCTATAGATGTATAGGAAAAAGAAGAAAGAAGAATCTATAAAAGGTATAAGTAACTATCTTACACTTTAATTTAAAGTTGAATAATTATGTTTGTAGTGAAATTTTGCATAGGGAAATATTTTGATGTTCAACGTAATGCATAGTGAGTTCATATCTTTTTTTTAACATAATTATGCACCGTGCAATCTTTTGGCAGAGAGGAGACTGATGCAGGAAATGAACAGGAGGCAATCTCGACAATACCTTCAGATCTACGAACGTGCTCGAGATGCTACCCAATTTATCCAAAATCAACAAAGGTTATTTTGTTCATGTATTATCATAAGATTACGTATAATCGTTTTTTTTTTATTATTATCAGTAAAGCAATTTTCTTTTTCAATTTTTTGTAGGCCACAATTGGATATTATTGAGAAGATAACCCCAGTTTTGGAATCAAGTAACAAGTTTCTCTATCAATTTTCAAGAGTAATTTTTCTTCGTTCTTTTTTTTTCTTTTGTATTTCTTACATTATTATCATGTATGATCATCAACATGTAGATTTGATGCATATGAAATTAGATAAATGTATATTTTCTGCAGGAGAGACTTAATGAAAACAGAGACAATGATGTCGTTGTTGCTGGTGGTAGTGCAATTGGTAAAGAAGAATTATCCCTTGAACTCACTCTTGGTCACAAGTACTAAGAAGACTTTGGTTTCTATCTCTTTTTTTTATGCTTGATCTCTATATTATGTAATGCTTATCCCATATACATAATGGGATAAGAAAAATAAAACCGAACAATATCTTATGGTAATTTGTTTATAATATGTTTTTATGTGATTTTTTCATCCATCTGGGTGAAAGATTATTTATATAAAATATTTCTATTTCACTAGTAAAAATATATTTAGAAATCCATTTAAATAGTTTTTGGAAGTTCTCAATATATTGGTAATATTTGTTTTGCTAAGAATTTATATATTGCTGATTAGAAAGTCTCAAAAACTGATATAGCTTTTGAATGGTGTAAGCAAAGTGGATATGCGGGTATGGGAAATACTATTAAATAATATGTACCGGTCGTAAAATGGTACAAACGTAAAACAAACAAGCTTGTTTGGAAGCACAAATAAGTCACCTAAAGAGATATTTAGATGTAGTAAAACATTTGAACAAAAAAAAAATGATGTAGTAGAAGTGTAGAACATATTTTGTTTGGTATTATATAAAATTGAAAACAACTATGAAAATATTTTGCACTAGATTTTGTTAAGGTGTATATTTAGAAGAAATATGTTAGGAAGAACTATATTAGGTACATAGATATATTCATTTTTTTGGAAATTAATGTGAAAATACTCAGAAAATTTCTTTATATTGTATTTTTTAACAAAAAGGAAAAAAATCTTCCTTATATTTCTTCTGTTCAGAGTAAAATAAAAATTAAGTAGAGTAGCTGAAATTAGGAATTGATACTTTATCTGATTGGTCAGAATAGATTTCTTATCTTCAGGCTATTGGTGAAATAAAATTGAAATCACCTTTGAAACTTTTTGGTTGTTTAGGTATATATTTAGAAGAAATATATTAGGGAGGAGAACTATATAAAGTACGTGATATATTCCTGTTTAGGAATTAATGTGAAAATACTCAGAAAAATTCCTTATATTTATTTTTTAACAAAAAGAAAAAAAAAAACTTCTTTATATTTATGTTCAGAGTAAGTTATATAAGAATCAAGTTAACCAAAATCAGGAATTGGTACTTCATCTAATTGGGCAGAAAAGATTTCTTATCCTCACTCTATTGGGGGTTATAAAGATATTTTCAGCTATTTATTTTTAAATCATATTTATCTGTGCAACATTTTAAGTTTATTTTATTTTATTTCCTCTATAATATTAATTAGTATTGGTCAAAAAAGTTTTAAAACAAAAATGTAGAAATAATTCATACAATTTTTTAATCTCCTTACATTCACTCAAAATATCTAAACGTATTTCTATTAGATGACATATACAACAGTTATACCTTAACAACATTTGAATTAGCTAAATGAACTCAACGACAACTCAACTCTGTGAAGACATCGTCGCTCATTGACATTATACCATTTTCAGATTGGGATTGACTTCCAGTGAAAGCAGGAGCTTTAGGTAAAGGAATGATGATAGTCTCACTGCCAAGCCAAATTATTACAGAGCTCATGGTTGGTCTCTTTGCTGCATTCTCTTGAACACACAACAAACCAATTTGGATCAACTTGATGATCTCGTTTCTTGGATTCTCTATCAAGAAAGGATCAATTACAATCTCAGGCTTTCCTTCAACCCATCTTTTCCATGCCTACACCAAAAAAATATACATGTTCTCACTTTCTGAATAGAGTTTTGAAGATTAGAAAAACAAAAATTGAGCAAAGACTAATATGTGAAGAAGCTTACAAAAGCTGCAAGTCCTTCTCCTTCGAAGCTATTGTTTCTTTCACCACTTATCATCTCGAGAAGCATAACACCGAAGCTATAAACATCAGATTTAGCTGAGATTTGCCCGTGATTCAGATATTCGGGAGCCATATATCCACTGCATATATGCAATGCAAACCATTAACATTAATTCATGGACTCTGTTTTAAAAAACAGAGCATTTAAATGTGTCTACAAATTTGATTGATATTTTTTTACCGTGTTCCAGCTATTCTTTTTGTTTCAGCTCGGGTCTCATCGGAGTCAAACAACCTCGCTGTCCCGAAATCTGCAACTTTAGGATTCATCTCTGCATCTAAAAGGATGTTACTCGCCTTCAAGTCTCGGTGAATAATCTTTAGCTGAGAATCTTCATGAAGATAAAGAAGACCTCGAGCAATGCCTTCTATAATTCTGCATCTCATCTCCCATGTAAGAAGTGAACGCTTCTCTTCATCTACAGAGTTCAAAGAAACATATTCATGCTATGCTAAAAGTTTCCAAAATATCCAAAATGGCAGCTGTTTTTCGAAAGCTCACCGAAGATAAAGTGATCAAGACTTGAGTTGGGGACAAACTCGTAGACAAGAATCTCTTCATCTCCTTCATTACAGAACCCAAGAAGCTTAACTAGATTCCTATGTTGGAGTCTTGTCAATAATGAAACCTCATTCTTGAACTCTATATCTCCTTGTCCTGAACCTTTTGCTAATCTCTTCACCGCTATCTCTTGCCCGTTTAGTAATATCCCCTGAAACCGGTTCTCAAGATTTGTTATTGATCCAAGATCGAGATGAACCAATAACTTATTATTAGGAAAAAATGTTATTACCTTATAGACCGTACCAAATCCACCTTGGCCAAGCGTATTTTCGGACGAGAAGTCATTGGTTGCCATTAAGATCATACCAATATCAAACCTTAACATAAATTGACCATCAGAATCAGAGTACTCTGCACTACCAACTAAAAATACAAAAAAAGAAAAAGCCTTTGTCACTACATCATAAAATTTACTCAACTGATTTTATTGAAGGAAGAAATATGGTACACTTATGACTTACCATTGATTTTGTTGTATGATTCTTTCTTCCGTCCATAGACTTTGATATAGCCAATAAACACCAAAAGATTAATGAAAGTAAGAACCACAATTATTGCGATAATTCCACGATATCCAATGCTTCTTCCTGCAAATCATCAAAACACCTTTTAGCCTAAGAACCTCTTTATCATACTTACAAATTTAAATAAGACTCAAATCAATGTCCACATCAGTTGTTTTACCTTTCTTTTCTGTTATAGAGCTCTCCTTTCTCTGAGCTTGAGGTCGAGGAGGTGCAGAAATTCTTGTTACATTATCAAAAGCACCATGGAAAGCATATAGATCCCACCTGAAAAAACAGCTCGGACGATAAACCTCGCCTCCTTGTTTTCCCCAAACCTGTTCTTTAAAAAGCGTCACACATTCTCCAAGACATGTCTTGCAATCTTGGGAAGTTATGTCTGGTGTGCATTGCATCAGCATGTAAACATTTTGAAACTCTGTGAACTCGGCTTTTTCGGCACTATAGTACTTAAGTACTGAGGAAGTTTCAGCTTCTTTTGCAGACTCGAGAGTCCGATTAGCCATTGCATTCCATTCTTGTTCAAAAAGGGTCATGTTTTTCGATGGCTCGATACTATTTGGACTTTGGTATCTAACAGAAGGTCTAAGCTCGAGGTTCCCAAAAGTAGAGTGGTTTGAGGTACTTACAAGACAAGAAACGTTGTCTTCCTCGTCTTTGTCCCACGTGAATGAATCCACGCGGTTTAGACAACTTGTTGTCGTTAGTATACCCCGAATCGCACTTTCGACACAACTGATACAAGCTTGTTGCTCGTATCCTCTTCCGCAGAGAGCAACAGCGTGAACTTTGTTGGGACTTTTGCCGAGTGAAGCGTTGAAGAAGCCACCATTGGTGACGACTTTATTAGCAAGAGTAGAGAAGAGATCGCGGCGATTCTGAGCGTAGCTGCTGTTACCGTTGAAGAAGCTTCCGGTACATCCGACGGCGTTTACAATTTCGACGTTTTGAAGGACAAGAAGAAGAGAAGAAGCGATTAAGATCATCAAAACAGAGTATTTCCCCATATCTTTTTTTATCAATAATGAACCAAAAAAAAACTGTTTTATTTTCTTTATCTTGTTCTACTTCGTTTATTGTTAAAAGGATAATCAATTATAGAGCTTTTTAGGTCGTGACTTGAGAAAACGAGTACTTCTTGACTTGACAAAGTGTGTATTGGTCAAATTTTATTAGTACTAGGAAAGTACCCGGACATACGCGTAGGTTTTGCCAATACATGTTTTTCTTATGTCCAATATATACGTTATTCAGAGATGTCCATGATTAAATTTTTTATTATTTGTATTTGGGTTTTCTTTGTAGAGCTTAAGATATAACTGAATACCTAACATAAAGTAGTATGATGTTGACAAAAAAAAAGAAAGAAAGTAGTATGATATGTTATCCAGCCAATATGACAATTTTTCATTTGTACGTTTAAAACAACTATAGTATAATTGATTGTAGTAAATTGAGAATGTTTATTACTATCAAAAAGACATTTACCCACAAAATTTAACTTTGGAAAGCAATTGCAAATTTACAAATTATTGATAGTGACTAATGAGTAAAAAAAAAAAAAATAGCGATTTTCAAGTAGCCTTTCTTTTTTTGTCAAGTAGCAAATTAGAAAACTTATAAATCTTTGGTCGTAATTGGCAACGGTGGCCAAGTAAGAGTACAAAGTTCTTAAAAAAATCCCTGATTGATAATGAATAATATTAAATTTTAATTAATTGCTAAAACTAGAGCATACATACTTAGGTTCCAACTTCCAACTACCCTTCAAGGGCTAACAAGTAACAATATAAGGAAGAAGCGTGGGAGTATCATGGAAGACAAAGACTCTTCACTTTCAAGTGGACATACAACGAATATTTTGAATCATTGTTATATTTCGTATCCATTGTTATAATGTGGAAATATAGGTTCTATTGGAGATATTAGAAACATAGAGAAAGACTTGAGTAGTAGATAAAAGACATGCACCAATCCACTAATTGGTTTTGAGTTGAAAGTCTTAACTTAACAAATAAGATTTTGGGTTTTTAGATACATGTATTATGCAATGTTTGTATGGTGGAATACTAATTTTTCCTGATGTTTCCTTTTGATTTTTTTCTGTGTATCAGATGAATTTATCCACTCTTTGACCTGGAAGTACACTTTATCTCTCTTTCTGCATAACACTTAGATGTAAGAGTTTACAAAGAGAGATTTTGGTTTCAACGAGGACTTAACTCGGTGATTGAGAGCTCATTTAGTGATAATGTACCAGCTTCATCTCTGCCTTGATTCGATGCATCGGTGAAACCAGCAGCTGTAGGTAAAGGAATGGTGATAGTCTCACTTCCAAGCCATTGAATAACTAAACTCATGGTTGGTCTTTTTGCAACATTCTCTTGAACGCACAACAAACCAATGTGGATGAATCTCATGATTTCGTTTCTTCGGCTCCTACTGAGGACATGATCGATGATACTCGCTGCCTCGCCCGCAACCCAACACTTCCATGCCTATATATTATCACCATAAATTTCTACTCAATATCTTTTGAGATTTATTTGGGTCTAAAGTAGTTAAAAAGACTGGATTATGCTTACATATGCAGGGAGCCCGAGGGCTTCGAAATAGTTCTTGTTACTTCGACCTGTTATCATCTCGAGAAGCACGACTCCGAAACTGTAAACGTCTGTCTTGACTGAAAATGTTCTGTTCCTAACGTACTCAGGAGCCATATAGCCACTAAACCAAAAATCAAATTAGTGGTGATGCTGATTCCAAGAATCTTGGAAATATGGGGTAAAAAAAACAGAGATACTCTGTTTTTTTATTAAAAAAGTATCTTGTTTTGTCTAAAAGAATCTGCCAAAAAAGAGCATCATTGTCTTGAAACAGGGCATCTATGTTCGTAACAGAGCATACTTACAAGGTTCCAACTACTTTTCTTGTCACTGCTCGAGTCTGGTCCATGTTGAACAACCTCGCCATCCCAAAGTCTGCAACTTTAGGGTTCATATCTGCGTCTAAAAGGATATTGCTTGCCTTCAAGTCTCGGTGAATAATCCTCAGCTGAGAATCTTCGTGTAAATAAACAAGACCTCGCGCAACGCCTTCTATAATTCTGGACCTCATGTCCCACGTTAGTAGCAAACGCTTCTCTTCATCTGTAGATTTCCAAAGAAGCGTAAATACTAAACATTCAAAATAATTTTTTTTTTTTTTTGAATGACTAGGAGGTTCTGGCCCGAGACCAGAACATTTTATATGGTCCCTTCCCATGTATCACTCGAACCGGCGACCAGAACATTCAAAATTTTTCACACAAGCATCTAAGTGAAAAGGCTCACCAAATATGAAGTGGTCGAGGCTTGAATTGGGGACAAACTCGTAAACAAGAATCTCTTCATCTCCTTCGTTACAAAATCCAAGAAGCTTAACTAGATTCCTATGTTGGAGTCTTGTCAAGAGTAAGACCTCGTTTCTAAACTCTATATCTCCTTGTCCTGAGCCTCTTGTTAATCTCTTTACCGCTATCTCTTGCCCTCCCGGTAATTTCCCCTGCGAACCGATTCTCATGCTATAAGATCGCTTACCCATCTAAAGATTTTGATAGTACTTTTTCTTACCTTGTAGACAGATCCAAATCCACCTTGGCCAATCTTATTTTCAAAGGAGAAATCATCGGTTGCGATTAGGATCATGCTAAAATCGAACCGGAGCGTGGATTGACCACCAGAATTATATTGCTGCTCTGCACATACCAAAAAAAACAACCTATGAGAAATGATGCATCACAAAAATTTATTGAAAAGCATGACAACATACCATTGAATTCATTGTTCGATTTTCTTATCCGACTATAGGCTCTGATCAGACCGATAAACACGAAAAGATTAATCACGATAGGAACCACAAATATCGCGATAATTCCTCCTGCAAGATTAGCATTTTTATATTTGTATGCGAATCTCAGATAATTTCATAGGTAACAATGTTAATCAACTCATTTGTTATCACACCTTTCAAGCGAGAGATAGAGATTGCTTCTTCTCGAGGAATCAAAGCTCGAGGAGGCGCAGGAATTCTTGTTACATTAGCAAAAGCGCCGTAAAAGGCATAAAGCTCCCACCGGAAAACACAGCTCGGTCGACAAATCCCGCCTCCTTGTCTGCCCCAATTCTGGTCTCTAAAATATGTAACAGACTCTTGCAAACATCTCTTGCACGCGCCTGAAGTTAAGTCCGGTGTGCATTGCATCATCATATAAACATTTGGAAACTCAGTGAACTCTGCTTTGACAGCACCGTAATACTTGAGAACCGTTGTGGAATTGTCAATGGTTACAGCCTCGACCGTCCGGTCAACCATTGCTTCCCATTCTTGACGGAAAAGGGTCATGTTCTTGGCGGATGTGTCGATAAAAACAGGACTTGGGTCATTTGTAGCTGGTCCAAGCTCGAGTTTCCGATAAGTTGATTGATTCGTGGTACGTACAAGACAAGAAACACGGTCTCCATCGTCACTGTCGCAATTGAACGATTCAACACGATTAGAACAACTTCTTTTGATCTGTCGAATGGATTTTTCGACGCAGTTGATACAACCTTGCCGCTCGTAGTCTCTTCTACAGAGGCCAAGAACGTGAACTCCATCGAGTGAAGCATTATAGAATCCACCGTTTGTGGTGACTTTATCAGAAAGAGTAGAGAAGAGAGAGTCGCGGTTTTCGTGGTAGCTACTGTTGGTGGGGAAGGAGCTGCCTACGCAGACAAAACCGGCTTTAACGCTGTGGAGGGTTTGAAGAAGAAGAATAAGGGAAGAAGTGAGGAAGATAGCAGCAAAGTTCTTCATTATTATTGTTAAGAAATAGAGTTTAGGGTTTTTTTTTTTTTGTTAATGAGGGAATGAATGTTATATATTTGTATATATAATTAGGTGTACATGAGAGAGATTGGGTTTGGTCGACTACACATGGAAAAAATTTGAGCAGTGGTTGACTTCAAAGATGGCCATTCAAATTCAAATAGCCGTAGAGAAAGGGTAAACATTTCTTAATCACTTCGTATGAACTAAGGGTTTCTTTCTCTTCTCTAGAAGTATTGAAAATATTGTCCTTTCAATATGGTTATGTTTTTCTTCAAAAAAATACTAAAAAAATATGGTTATGTAAGTACTTTGTTTTTGGTCGCATGCATGACCAAAAAAGTCTTCCTTTGCTAGGTCTACAGAGTTATACTTACTGTATAAAGAAAGAAAAGAAGTGAAAATTGTATAAATTGTTAATTTCTGAGAAACTCGTAATGGATAGTCTTTGAAAGTAATTTTGGACAGTTTGTCATTCTTAAATTTGCAGAAATGGTTTGATATGTAGTGGGAAAATGATCAATTTCATGAACACCCACCATCGATCGTCCAATATAGCTTTATATATGGTTTTATTAAAAAAATTTGGTATTTGTAATATTAAAATAATTAGTATATAGTAAATTGGTTTTAAATATAGAGAAAATCTCTTACTAATAAAAGATGCTAATTGAGGCCTCTAGAGCCATCCACATCAGCACAATGAAATCATCTAAGAGGTAGCCACCTCAGCACACTTAATTTTAGAAGAAAACTTCCACGTCATCCTATAAGTCTCAACCTGGATTTGAACACGTGAGCAGTAACCTCAGTCCCTAAATGCAAACTTTGTAATTAGGCTTAGAAAACTGAACCGTTTCTTCTCCCTCCCCACCTCAACATGTATTAACTTCTCTGTATCAAACTAATTGATTGCTTTATCAATATATCGATCTAAGTAATTAAATAGATTGAGGTTCTCTTCCTCTTTCAGTCACATATTTTTTCATGAAGAACAGATTCCCTCGAAGCACTTTCATCCAAATGATTCCCTAAAGAGAAGCTCATAGAGTAATCACAGGGTAATCACAGGTTGAAACAAAATCTATCCAATATCTACTTTTTGAATCACAATAGAGGAAGATTGAATAGTTCTGTGTTGAGTGTTGACTATATGGAATTTGAACTATGATTTCAAAAGTAATCAATAGGCTTTTCAGTTCTTGATTCTGCTAATCATTGTACAGAGGATTTGGGTGTGTTTGTGTATGATGATGATGATGATTAAGTTTGGTCTGAATCTGTTATTTGATGATTTAGGTATCAGTAGATGGAGCCAAAGTTAAAAAAAAAATCGGCTGCTTCTGCTTATCCTCAGAAGATGTTGAAGAGTCATCTTGAGCTTACAAGTCTGTAACTTCCTCTTCTTTGTTCATTACAAGATATCACATTTGATTATGCTCTTCTTCATTTAGTGGTCTGCATTGTAGAAGCACTTGAACATGTAATCTCTTTGTCTCTTTGAAATCTGAATCGGTGATTTGATGATTTAGCTAGGTATCATTAGGTGCAGCCAAAGTTATCAACGTCACACCTCGATATTCCCAGCTACGAACCGGATCCAATGGGTCAGCCAAAACAGATGTAATTGGATGGCAGAACATAGAACTCATCAGTGACCGACCTCTCGAAACCATGCTAAAAGAGTTCAAGCAATTAAAAAAAAAAGTACCATTCTCATTGCTACAATCATGGTCCATGGAGGAATAGAACAAAACTGCTTAAGAAAAGTTCACCGACATTGTCGAGCAAACTGGTGTTGTGAGTTTTCCACAAAACATGGAATCTTCGTCTTCCTTATCATCTTCTTTCACGTTGCCTTATATTAGTAAGAGATGTTGATACTTCACTACAATATTTTGAATTATTTTAACATGGAAAAGAATTAAGTACTTTTTAATGTTTAAACTTTTGTTCACCACATTGCATCAAATCTTACCAGTACCAGTTGATAAACGTAGCCTACAAGTATAAGATGCATTTTGTTAAAATAAACAGCCAATCAGCTTTAAAAACAATACTAACAAGCTACCATGCATTTTGTTAAAATCATCTCAATTTCTCATGTACATATTACTATCCTTACCAATATAGTGGAAAATCACATAAAAAATGCTATATAGATTTTTTTTAAAAGGAGAATAACAATTGGAAAAAAAATATGCAAGAGATATAGATTGAAAATACTAATACTCATACCCCGGGCGTAGCCCGGATTAACCTCTAGTCTTATATTAAGAAATGCAAAAGAAAGCTTTATTGTAAATACAAAAAAAAAATGTCAAATGGTATTTACTTGAGCATTCTTGTTAAATGTCCGAGCCTTAAATGTAAGTTTAACAATGTGCCGCTTTGTTCAAATTCCTTTCTTTCTGAAGTCAAATAAAAGTTTTACATTAGATAAAAGTTTTTGTTTTTGCTCGTGTGAACTTTCATAGAAATTGGACTGCAACTTCCTCTATGCATTCCTCCGTTTCGGTCCAATTTCCAAAAGGCTGATTACATTCCTCACTCTATGATCTTTTTGAGGCATAGTGAGAAAATTTAGTATGTCGATCACCTTATTGAGGCCAAACATTCCTCTTTTTTATGTCTCCAGAAAACATCCTCATGATACGCCTTTAGTAACATGTTCTTGATATCAAGAATTTCTTCTATAGGAATGTCTTTCTTTATTTGAGCTTATTCTAGAATTTCTTGAAGCTCAATGATTTGACTCTTCCACTACTAGGGATACTATTTTAGCGAGAATCAAATATTCAGTTTATATAAATAAGTTTATCGCGAATCAAACATAAGTTTGCTTACATTACACGGCATCTCTTTACATTTCTCATTGATTGTACAGAGAGAGACAAAGTTACAAAGAGATATAAAACGTACAGGCATGATGGTTCATTAGCGGCACAGTGATGATGATTGCGATGGTGATGGTCGCGTAAGATAAGCAACAGGCGTGGGCACAGGCATTGTGGTAGTAGCGTGTCTTTCAAGCCAAAAGAGGATTGAATTAATGCTAGGTCTTTTGGAAACATTCTCTTGAATACACAACAAACCTATGTGGATGAGCTTCATTACTTCGTTTATTGAGATGTTGTTACTCGGAACAGCCAAAGGATCAATGATCTCTGCAAATCTCCCTTCAAGCCACCTCTTCCACACCTGCAAATAATTTACAAAAGTTCGATAAGAAGATGAAGAATAAGAATAAAGATGATCGATGTAAGTGAGAAGCTTACAAAAGCTGGAAGCTCTTCTTCTTCCTCTTCTTCCTTTTCCAAGTTTTTGTTGCTTTTACCACTTATCATCTCTAGAAGCATGACACCAAAGCTATAAACATCAGATTTGGCTGAGAATTGTCCGTATGTCGCGTATTCTGGAGCCATATATCCACTGCATTAACCAAATCACATTAATGATGATGCTGATCAAAGAATCTTAAAAAAAAAACAGAGCTTACTTACTATGTTCCAACCACTCTGCTTGTCTGTCCTCGAGTCTCATCCATATCGAACAGCCTCGCCATCCCAAAGTCTGCAACCTTAGGGTTCATCTCCGCGTCTAAAAGGATATTGCTTGCCTTCAAATCTCTGTGAATAATCCTCAACTGAGAATCTTCATGGAGATAAAGAAGTCCTCTTGCAACTCCTTCTATGATTGTGTACCTCACATCCCATGTCAGAAGCCGGCGTTTTTCTTCATCTGAAAATCTCAAAGAAACAGTTTTTTTTTTCTTGTTTGCTAAAAGTATTGTAACAAAGAAGCACGGATCTCGCGAAGGCTCACCGAATATGAAGTGGTCGAGGCTTAAATTGGGGACGAATTCGTAGACAAGAATTTCTTCATCTTTTTCTTTACAAAACCCAAGAAGCTTAACCAGATTCCTATGTTGGAGTCTTGTCAAGAGTAAGACCTCGTTCTTGAACTCCATACCTCCTTGCCCTGAACCTTTTGTTAATCTCTTTACCGCTATCTCTTGTCCGCTCGGTAATATTCCCTGAAAACGGATTCTCATGCTATAATTAAGGTCACTGACCCATCTAAAGATTTTTGTTAGGACTCTTACTAGTTTCTTTACCTTGTAGACAGATCCAAATCCACCTTGGCCAAGCTTATTTTCTAGAGAGAAGTTATTGGTTGCAGTTAGAATCATTCGAAGATCAAAACGTAACATAGATTGACCATCAAGAGCCTCTGCACGTCATCACAAAACATGTTCATTTTGATCGGTTATTGCTTTTTTTGAAAATTAATCCACTCATTACCAGTTGGTTTTGAGTGAAACTTAATATGTAGCTTCTTTTAAAAGACTTTACCATTGATTTCGGTGTGTGACGGCTTTCTTCTCTTCCAAGAAAATATTAGAACCACAAATATGAAGAGATTGATGACTGTAGGCACCACAATAATTGCTATGTAGCTTCCTTGAAAACTTTGCTTGTCTCTCCCGTAATCGAGAATAGTCGAAGAAGCTTGTGGAGGAGGAGCAGGAACTCTCGTAACATTTTCAAAAGCTCTATAGAAAGGATAAAGATCCCACCGGAAATAACAGCTAGGCCGGCTAATCCCACCTCCTTGTCTTCCCCAAAACTGCTTCTGAAAGTCATTCACACACTCTCTAAGACATCTCTTGCAGTTGCCTGGCGATAAATCAGGCACGCATTGCATCAACGCGTAAACATCTGAAATTTGTGTGAACTCTGTTCTTGTGGCGCTATAGTACTTAAGAACTGAGGAAGTCTCAACGGTAGAAGCAGCCTCGAGCGTCCGGTTAACCATTGCAATCCATTCTTGGCTGAACATGGTCATGTTGTTGAATTTGGAATCTATACTGTTTGGGTTAGGGTTAATAGTACTTGGTAAGAGCTCGAGTTTGCCAAGAGTTGAGTGGTTGGTGTAACGTAGAGAGCAAGAAACGTCGTCCAATTCATCAGTGACCCACGAGAAAGACTCTTTTTGGCGAGGACACTTGGCTTTTGTGTCTTCAATCACATGTTCGAGACATGTCTTACAAGCTTGCTCCTCGTAGCCTCGTCTGCATAAGGCAACAACGTGGACTCTGTTGTTTTTGGAAGCTCGGCCAAACGACGCGTTGTAGAAACCGCCGTTAGCAACGACGTTAGAAGGAAGAGAAGAGAAGAGATAGTTTCGGCTGACGCCGTAGTTAACATTGAAAAAGTCGCCGTAACAGATGAAACCGGCATGAACATATTTTAGGGTTTGAAGGAAGAGAAGGAGAAGCGAGAGGGAACTAGTCACAACATAACTCTTTCCCATTTACACAAATTGATAAGGTTGCTAAAATGGTTTTTTTTTCTTAATCTTTTTCTCATCTTACTTCATTATAGGAGAGCTTAATTTATAACACGTCATTGCATGTTAATATATGACGTGAGAACTGGGAAATGGGTACTAGTTGACTTGGAAAATAGTAGCTTGACTAGGTGTGAAAGCATTTTTAAAAATATAATGGTAGTAGCACTTCTTACAATAATATTTTGGAGTAACACTTTCATAATTGTAGTTACTTTTTTATAGTAAAGATATCCTTTCTTTTGGGCACGGTGAGAGTCAGATACGCGTGGGATGAATAGAGCATCATCGACTAGTGTAATTTAATTAGAGCTAAAGTTGTTTCTTAATAAATTCTAATGAAAGATGAATTTTCTTTAATAAATTGATAATCAAAAACTAAATAAGAGAAATTGTGATGACAATCCATAAGCCATCTAATAGATATCTTCGTTTTTTTTTTGTGATTTCATTTTTCATTTTTTAAATGTTTTTGCATCACCGTATAGAATTCTAGTCTTCGACGCAATTGGTAAACGTGAAATTTTAATGAGTCATGAAACCATTTTGGTCATATTTTTTGACTTTCATAGTCCTTTGATACTTGACAATGTATGAAACCCGTACTAGGCCTTGACTCGATTCATATCCCCTTGTCATTTCTATATTGTTTTGTTTGTAACCAGAAACGACGTCGTTCTTTCCAATGTTATTATCGAAGACATTTACATGCCACTTAAGGCATAAGGACAACGACGTGTTGTTTACGTAAGCGAAATTGAAGGAAGAAAAGTCGTTTTGCCTTGCTCTTTACGTCACCATAAAAAGTCAGGGTTTCTAAAGGGTTTTTTTCACTTGTGAAAACGACATGATGATAGAAAAGTCTCTTCGTGTTTGATCCTCATTCCCCAAGAGAAAGTTTACAAATCAAAATCTGTTTATTTAAAGCCAAACTAAAGGTTTTAATAATGAAACGTTAATTGTTCATATAGATGGAAACATCCCTTCTTTTCCACAGCCCTTGTTTTCTTCTTTTATTTCTTCTCTTCAACATCAATGGCGTTCACACCACCTTCGTCTGCGGCGACGAAGACTTCTCTCCAAATACAACCTACCGCGAAAACCTTGATGCTCTCTTGTCTTCTCTTGCTTCAAACGTTACAAGAGAACGCGGTTTCTACAACGCTTCGCTAGACGGAGTCTACGCTCTTGCCCTTTGTCGAAAACACTACGAAGTTCAAGCTTGTCGTCGCTGCGTTGATAGAGCAAGTAGGACTCTATTAACACAATGCCAAGGCAAAACAGAAGCATATCACTGGGATTCCGAAAACGATGCAAACGTTTCTTGTCTAGTACGCTACTCAAATATCCATACATTTGGCAAACTAAAGCTTGAGCCAATTGGGAATGTTCCTCACTCGAGTCTTCTCACCTCTTCCAATCTGACCCGAATCAGCCAAGAGTTTGCCGTTATGGCTAATCGAACTGTTGAGGTTGCATCCACGGCTGATGAGTCTTCGGTATTGAAGTACTATGGAGTCTCAAGTGCAGAGTTTACAGACACTCCTGAGGTTAATATGTTGATGCAATGCACACCTGATTTATCTTCTAGTGACTGTAATCATTGCCTAAGAGAGAATGTTAGGTATAATCAAGAACATAACTGGGACAGAGTTGGGGGAACGGTTGCACGTCCTAGTTGTTATTTCCGATGGGATTCATACAGATTCGCAGGAGCTTTCGATAATCTAGAGAGATTTCCCGCGCCTCCTCGACCTCCTCAACCTCGAGAAGATTCTCGGGACAAGAAAGGTACACTAGAATGGATTATCTTCTTGCTGAAATCTTGAATTGACTTCGTTTTCATATATAAAACTTGACCTTTTCTTCAGGAAGAATTTTTCAACCATGGAGCGTTGTGGTTATTGTTTTTCCTACGGTCATTAATCTTGCCGTCTTTGTTGCTTTCGTGCTTGCTTATCGCCGGATGCGGAGGAGGATTTATGCTGAAATCAATAGGGAGTATAATAATTTCATGAATTTTGAGTAAATGTTTGGAAAGTTATGGATTGCTGTTTTGAATGAAAAAGCTTTTAAATATATGCAGAGAATTCTGATTCTGATGGTCAATCTACGTTAAGATTTGATCTTGGCATGATTTTAGTTGCAACCGATGAGTTCTCCCCTGAAAATAAGCTTGGACAAGGTGGATTTGGATCTGTCTACAAGGTAAGAAATTTCATCAAAACTTGTAAAGTCTTTATCAAAATCTTTAACTCGGTTAGTGATCTTTATACTGGTTTCAGGGGATATTACCGAGCGGGCAAGAGATAGCGGTAAAGAGATTAGCTGGAGGTTCAGGACAAGGAGAACTAGAGTTTAAGAATGAAGTCTTACTCTTGACAAGACTCCAACATAGGAATCTGGTTAAGCTTCTTGGATTCTGTAATGAAGGAAATGAAGAGATTCTTGTCTACGAGCATGTTCCTAATTCAAGTCTTGATCACTTTATATTCGGTAAGCCTTACGCGATACCGATGCATTTTTCGTTACAACGGTTTCAGAAAGGAAAACAAAAACGTTTTGTTTGAAAATCTGCAGATGAAGATAAGCGTTGGCTTCTGACATGGGATGTGAGGTACAGAATCATAGAAGGAGTTGCAAGAGGGCTTCTTTATCTCCATGAAGATTCTCAGTTGAGGATTATTCATAGAGACTTGAAAGCAAGCAATATCCTTTTAGACGCGGAGATGAACCCTAAAGTTGCAGACTTTGGGATGGCGAGGCTGTTTAACATGGATGAGACTCGAGGAGAGACAAGCAGAGTAGTTGGAACTTAGTAAGTAAACTCTGTTTCATACCTAAATGCTCTGTTTTAGACATGGATGCTCTGTTTTTTTAAACAGAAAATTCAGATTCTTGGGAACAGAGTTACCACTAATGTGATCTTTGTTCATGCAGCGGATATATGGCTCCGGAGTACGTGAGACATGGACAATTCTCAGCTAAATCTGATGTTTATAGCTTCGGTGTTATGCTTTTGGAGATGATAAGTGGTGAAAAAAATAAGAACTTTGAAACAGAAGGACTTCCAGCTTTTGTAAGCTTCTTAATCACATTTTATTTATCAATTTTTAGAAAGAAAACTTATAAAGAACTATTCCTTTTGATTCAGGCATGGAAGAGATGGATAGAAGGAGAGCTTGAGAGTATAATCGACCCTTACTTAAACGAGAATCCGAGAAACGAGATCATAAAGCTGATTCAGATTGGCTTGTTGTGTGTTCAAGAGAATGCGGCAAAGAGACCAACCATGAACTCAGTAATAGCTTGGCTTGCAAGAGACGGTGCCTTTAATATACCTAAACCTACAGAAGCTGCTTTCGTCACTCTCCCTCTCTCGGTGAAACCTGCAAATGGATCCATGAATAAGCTTAAAGACAAGGATCCATTTTCAGTGGATGAGGTCTCGATTACGGTGTTGTATCCCCGGTGAATCTTTCATTTTTTCTTACCTCACCTACATTTCGCGACCATTTCACAAGCGTTGGATAGCGTAAGACACAAGAAACGATGTTCTTATGAACTTGTTTGGGGGTGGATATTCGGATGATTTGGTTTACTTTGGTATGGAAACACTGTCACCGAATTATAACCAAATTTAGTTAAGTAAATAATTATTTTTCATTCATTAAATTTAATCTTTAGTATAAATTCTGTTTGAGTATACTTTGCTTTTTCTAGTGTAACTTTCTTTACCCTAATCGGTTTATAATTAGATTGGGTCAAATTCGTTGAATAATTTCGTTTTTGTTTTGAATCGGTCGTTTCTATTGGATTGAGTTAGATCATTTTCGGTGGGTTTAAAGAAGGCCAACTCTTCTTACAACTTATGCTCAAGATCAGGACAAAGATTCATGTTTCATTCATATTCTCGTTTGAAGTTTCGATCAAAAGACAAATCTCTTTGTAACACTTAAAATAAATTTGTTAATAAAATTTGTTGGTAACAAATAAATCAAAGAATATATGAATGAATAAATTCACCTATACAAAAAAAAAGAATGAAGAATGTTCTCTCTAACAAAAACTAGAAAAGCTTGCTTGCGAATTCATTAGCCTCAACCTGAGAGAGATTCGATCTTTTCGCGAGATCTCTCAGTTCCGATAAGCTTCTCCCTAGCTTCACCGCAACTCTTGTCTCAAACACTTGTCCGTTCTCTCTCTTCTCCGTCGATTTCATCGTTTCTTCTAATAGAGAGAAGAATCCAGCTGAGTTTCTATACATCTCAAACACCATTCCCACTTGACCACCATGTTCTAAAGTGTTGACCACCGCGGCTAAAGAAGCACAAGTCATTGCCACGATTCCGGCTAAACCGGAATCTTGACCGATAAAAACAGAGCTCACTGCAGAAACTCCGGTTAAAACTGGTCCAGAGATAGCCAAGAACCGGTTTAGCTTCAACGCCACGTTACCTAATTTCTCATATTCTTCTGCGTCTCTGCTCTTCACCACATGAGCAACTTCTCTCATCTCCGTTTCGAGCTCTTGGCTCCACCCATTCGCTAGACCGCTTTTAGGGTTTTCCCTTTTGTTTTCAGGCCACCAAGTCGCGGGTTTAAACTCTTCCGGAAACTTCTCCAGCATTGTTCCGATTAGAGGAAGAGGGTAAGCTTTGTCTAGAGACAACACTTTCTTTATCGCTTCCTTCACATCTTCTTCTTCGATCTCCTCGTTTTCTCTCAGAAACTTTTCGATTTCGACTCTCAGCTTCTTGAACAGCCTCGTCGCATTCCTCTGTTCTTCAGCTAGCTGCGAAGGTTGAATCTTGCTCATCAAGGCAGTGAAACCCGTTGCAGAGGTTAACAACACCGTTGAAGCTATCTTCACCGCGGTCACAGAATCTACACCGTGACCATTAACCGAGGCTATTCCGGCCATCAAAGCCGCGGTGAGAGTAATCATGTTGACAGAATTGAGCAATAGAGAGTTCCAATTGTTACGTTGATCTCCAATGTTCTTGTGCATCTCAATCCTATCCATAACTTCTTCAAGAACCGCATTAAGACGCGCTCTTTGGATAGAGTCAGAGCCTCTCCTCTGTTTCAACGAAAGAGGAAGACTTTCTACAAACTCAAAGATCGGTTCTTTAACCGATAAAGTTTGCTTCTTTATCGGTATTTTCGGAACCGAGACGTGAAATTTCGGTAGTTTCGGGATTGAAACTGCTGCTTTAGGTCTTGAACAAGAAGAAGAAGACGAAAGAACTAATCTTGAAAGTTGCAATGAAGCCATTAGTGTTTACAAAGAAAGACCAATATGAAGATTCTTGTTTAAACCGATTCTTGATTGGTTTTGGTTACGTTGGTTTCTTAATCTTTCTCAGGAGATTTGTGATTGTGTTTGATGAATGAAGAGAGACATGTGATGTGTGGTTATATATAGGTTTAAGATGATAGGCATAAAACAAAACAAGAAAATTGAAGGAATTGAATTGACCAAAGAGAGAATTTTGACCAAAGACCAATTAAATTGAAGTTGGCTTTGATAGTTTCTTCTGTGACGGTTTTGGTCTAACCGTAAAGCCTCCCAATTTTACCCGCCATCCTCGTAGAACGAGTCTTAATTACTCTTAAACCGGACCGGTTTAGTTTGGTTTCTTAAATTGGGATTGAACCGGTTCGGTTTTTGTTAGGTAGGAATTTGGTCAAAACACAAAACACTAGAGAGTATCGAAGAGAAGAATCCAAAAAAATGGGATCTTCACCGAAGAAGACGACTCTGCAACGGTACTTGTCACAGCTTCAACAACATCCTTTAAGGACAAAGGTTCGAGCTTTTTCTTCTCTTCTTGTTGTTCTTCTTCTTTGTGATTTGAATTTGATCAATTTCTTACCTTTTGGGGGAAGCGATTGATCTAGTTTCTGGGGTGGTTTAGTTTTCTTGAGATTAGGTTTAGTTTCATTGATTTGAGAGACGATGATGTTGTTTTTCGATCGAAAGTTATGTTTTTTAACCTAACCCTGTTTATAAAGTTAATTATCTGAGAGCATCGTCGACTCTGTTTTACAAGTAGCTGGGATTCATGTGAATGATTTTAAGTTTTTTTTTTTTTTTTATGAATTTGGAGTCAATTTGTGTGTGATTTGTAGGCAATAACTGCTGGAGTATTGTCCGGTGTCAGCGATGTTGTATCGCAGAAACTATCTGGCATACAGAAGATTCAGTTGAGAAGGGTTCTTCTCAAAATGGTATAAAGCTTGAATCTTTCTCTTGTTAAGTCCCAAGTTGAAGCCAATCCTAGCTTCATTTGATAGCTTTTTTGATGTTTTACCACTGAGTTCTATCGCCTTCTTCAACAGATATTTGCGGGTGGTTTTCTTGGACCAGCGGGTCATTTCTTTCATACATATCTAGATAAGTTTTTTAAAGGGAAGAAGGACACAAAGACTGTGGCCAAGAAGGTATACTTTCCAATACTTTTCGATGATTTTTTTTATGTTAAAGATTGATCGAGATTTATGCTAAATGGTCTGTTTTAATGTGAATTGTTTGGCAGGTAGTTTTGGAACAACTGACATTGTCACCATTGAACCATTTGCTTTTCATGGTCTATTTTGGAGTGGTCATCGAAAGTAAGTTCCTCTTTTTTACACTCCATTTGTAAAACCCGAACTGTCGTGGATGGTATTTAGAGTTCTTGATAACAGTTCTGCAATGTTGAGTGAAACAGGAACTCCCTGGAATCTTGTTAGAGAAAGGATCAAGAAGACTTACCCTACGGTCCAGCTTACAGCTTGGACGGTAAGTGATAGATATCAATTTAGTTCATGTCCTTTAAGAGAGTATGATCTACAACCACCATAGTGGATGATTGATTCTATGATCTCGATCACAGTTTTTCCCGGTGGTCGGATGGATAAACTACAAGTATGTGCCTCTGCACTTCCGAGTCATCTTGCACAGCCTCGTCGCATTCTTTTGGTAAGACCATGAATCATTTGCTGCACCTTCCCAAAGAAAAAACTTCTATCACAATGCTTACATTCTTGTTGTTGTTACTCAATTTAAACTTGTTCGTAATCTCAACATTCTCCTTTTGTTTTTCAGGGGAATTTTCCTGACGCTGCGAGCGAGGTCAATGACACTGGCTTTGGCAAAGGCTAAGTGATTAGGGAAACACATCGATCGTGAAAGAACTCAATCTTTGGACTCATTATGATCACTTAGTCCTCTGTAAGTTAAAGCAAATCAAACAGCTCTGAAACCAAATAAAAAACTGTATTAAGATGATACCATTCTAGAATAGCAATATGCCAATATGTTTAAGTTATTACAACCATTTAAGATTTTTTCTAAAACACATCCACAAACATCATATAAAAAAGGGTATTGAAGAAGAGATCTTGTTTAAGCAGCTTTGGCGAATCCAACTCTTGCTTTCCCGTAATCGAACACGGTGTGATATGGTCCCATGAAGATATCACCCAAGATCCTGCATTTTCACACCATTACAAAAATTTTGAGTAAACCCTTTTGAGATTTTTGGTTAGCATATTGCATTTAGGAGATGATAGTTACCAGAGAGGTCCACGAGGCGGAGGAATATCCATGGCCGTGAAACCGCTAGTGCACTGAGACTCAACTCCGTCCCCAATCTTGAATATATACTGATCGATAAAAAAAAGAAGGAAAAGACTTTAAGTAATCTCCTTGTGATGATTTTGGTAAGATAAAATTTAAGGAAAAACTGATGAGAGTAGTTACATCTTGAGGACTGAGATCAAAGGTTCTGCCGCCAATTGAGAATGAGACTATAGGCATCGACGAAACCCTCTCACAGTCCACTGCTGATTGTTGGTTTTTAGTTGGTATATGGTTACATAGCTATACAGATTTTACAGAGATTAGAGTCTTAACATGTTTGTCCAAAATAAGGTTTTCAAGATAAACTCAAAGTCAAAACTCACCTCAGCTGCATAAGCGAGTATGCGTTCTTGTGTTTGATTCTGAGTCAATTCGCTCTCCATCCACACGGCTGCCATTTCGCAAGCACTGCACATCGCTTGGTTTAAAAGACCCGATGTCCCATCATCTACAACTGACTGGATGTCCATACTGCAGAGCGACATTAAGCAGTTTTAAATTTTATGCTGACATATTTTTTTGATTGGATTATGTCAGTACTGACCTCACACTGTGTGTACCATCATAAGCGCAGACTCCAATTTGTGAGCATACCTTCTTCGGATCCTCCTGCAAGCAAGTGATGTAAAATGCAAGATTGTATTGCTTATAAGTAGATAAGTTGAATGTGTCATGAGCAGTGATTTAAACCTGAGCTAGAAGAGAATTCAACATGGTTTTTCCGTACTGATCCACCACAGCCTTGCATTCACGGCTTACGATTCCTTGTGCTCCTATCGCATGATTGATCATCGTGATGACAGTCTAAACAAGCAAATGCAAAAGCAAATATAACTATTCCGCATGTTTCAGGTGCTAAGTAGTGCATACTTTACAAAATTTTCAGCGAAATCTTTCTCACCGATGGACCGGTGAGCAGAGAAGTTCCGGAATCAGCAATGGCAGAACAACCTTTAGCACAATATCCTATATTACATATAAATTCAGATGTCAAATTATATTTTAAGTACTCAATCATGTTGAAACTGAAACATCTCAAAACCTTACGTACCTGTAGGTTTGCCAGCAATTTGGAGATCACCCATGTCAAACTGCCAGTAACCTTTATGTGTCACAGGAACATAAGTATGCTCTCCTTTGAAGTGTTTTGGGTCGACTCCGCCAAAAACAATCTCACCACCTTCTTGATCTTGCGGGTTACGGTTAAGCCAGAACGAAAAGACCGGGTCCTTAACCAAACCTTTTTCTACCATGTTATACCTACACACATCATGAATTCGTCAGTAAGAATTCAAATTTGTACAACAATTCTTTAATCAGATAATGGATCATATGAAAAAAGTAAGAAAGCGTTTTCATACCAAACCGGAGTTGAATTTCCAACGGAAATCTCTTTGAAACCCAAACCGAGGATACCATCAAACTTTGCTAGCAAGAATGTTATACCAGGCTCAGTAGTAGCCTCTATGAATTCCTGTGGTGATATAGACGTATAGCAGTAAGATATGAAAACAAAAAAGGAGTAAACTCACAAGAATATTCTGAGATATGTAAGCGGATGAATCGGGTTTACCTGCTCCTTGACAACAATATCACCAACTTTAACATCATCATTGCTAAAGTAACCAGAAATAGCACCTGTCCCATAGCGGATAGACGCGGGTTTTCCTGTAATGATACAGATTTTTATCGTCAAAAACTATCAGCAAACATATCAAAAGACCAGCTCTAAATAGAGAGAACAAACCGTTCTTTCTGTATGACGATGACTGGCTAGCCTTGTACTTGGAGTGGAAATAACAAGCAACCTGAAAATATGAAACAGAGATATTTTGTATGTTTATGGGAAAAAGAATACAATAGCATTTTCACAATTAGTATGCATTAAAAACAAATTAACCACTAAATGCGTACCGATAAGTAACATTTAGTAGATGGTATCCAGAGATTGGAGCTACCAGTATCAAAGATCACAGTGAACTTCTGAGGTGGAGTACCAATGGTAATGTCACCATAGTATTGAGCATCCAAATAGTTTTTCAGCGGAACCATATCCGCATTTGCATCGTTCAGGCGAAAATAGTCTTTGGGAGACCAAGAACCTCGGTTTTTCAAAAAAAGCTGAGAAGCTAGCCTGTTGCTCCGGTCTAGTTTCCTCTTCTTCAATCCAATTCTAATCGTCCCATCACCTTTCCGCTCACACGAGGCAGTGGATATGAGGATTAAACATGAAAGCAAGAACACGAGCAAGAATGATTGGAACCTAGTTCCCATTTTTACCTATCATCCAAAACAATCTCACATCAAGTTAAAGAACAGCCACATAAAAATAAAACAGAAATCCATTAGGTTTCTGATTAACCAAATAAATCAAACAAGTCAAAATTCTAAAAAACATAGCAACGAACAGAACTTGGAATTAAGTTTAATTTACACAAACATAAACTAAATGATTTACTAGTTCCTATAATTTTTTAGAGGAGATATATAAAATTTGGAAAACAGCAAAGAAGTAAAAGAACACTCACAGAGAAAATGTGAGTAGAGATTCTTATAAGCTTAACAAGACGAAGAAGAATGGTGCAAGGGTTTATATATATACATACGTAAATGACTTCAAAGATTGAAACTCTCAAGAAAAAAACTAGAGATACATAATAAAGTTCAACTTTTTACTGTCAAATGTCAATAATTAATTGATAATATATTTAGTTGTTGCTTGCGAATGGAAACTTTTGAAGTATATGAAGGTATTAAATTAAAGTTATAAATGTGAGTTAGATTCATAAGCAAGCGTCACGTTTATGAAGCCTTGCTTGCTATGCGTGGACCCAGACAGATCAGCAAAATTCGTTTTGTTTTTTAAGGAAAAAGTTCTTTTTCATTACTTTAATGAATCTCTCTACCCTTGGATTATATCTTATTTTCATCTTGACCCCAATTGTTTTCTTGAATTATATAAAAGTTATCCCATAATATTTTGCTTAAACTCTTGGGTAATTTTAAAAGTGTTATGTTTAATTTCTTTTATGTACATAGTTATGATATCTTCTAGGATAATATCATTGTTAGTTTCTGTTTTCTACATCAAGCTCATTTTATTTAAAGTGTGCAAGGAAGAACCTTAGCTGTCTCTTTTCAAAAAAGTACCTTATATATACAGTATGTATTAATTTATTTTACTCAATTAAACTTTTTATTCATTAATATAGATACTGTATATAGAGTTTTTTTATATAACTTTTTAGAAAATATTTTTTTTTGAAAAAAAAATCAGCATCTGTAATTGGAATATACTAGTATTAGATAAAAAATCTAGTAAATATGTAATATCATTTAACAATGATATAAACAAACAAAACCTTGAAACTATCAATTTAATTTTTATAATATTGTTTCTGATTTTAAAATCCCAAATTTTTTTAAAAAATCAATCCTATTTGCTTATGCAATTGTAATTGATTGATTAATTTATTTTTTAATTATCTGAAATTGAATGTGTGAATAATGCTTGGCAAATATATCCGCTGATTTGGGTTTGTTTAGCATTAGGTACGCTTCACGTTGAACCCATGCTTGGGTCCAGCTTAGCATTATCCCCTTTCTTAAACAGTAACGTCTTATATCTACTTTGTCACCCTAATTATACCATTTCTATTTTGATCCCTAGTTAATTATAGTCCATACCTTAAATAAAAATGATTAAAAAATTTAATATCTTCTCCACACACATATACACACACTAAACTCTGGATTTTTCACAAGAAAATGTTAAAAGCAAAACGGATTTGGTTTCTTGCACAAATAAATAACAGATGGTTTGTTTGATTGGTGTTTGCTGCAAATGGAAATTATAAGGTTGCTTTGATTTATAGCACAAGCAAACGCCTTCACGTTGTTGACGCTGCGTAGGACCCATAATCACAACACGTTTCCTTAAAGTTTCAACTTTTCATATTTGCTCGTTTAACCCCTTCAAGATTCCTTACTTTCACTCTAAACCCTATATTAGTGTCTAACTACTATTCCCCATTTTAGGCATTCAAAAATATAGTTTAAGTATGAAAAACTAGTGGAGCACATAAAAGATGTTGACTACTGGCTAATTGATCTGATTAAAAACTATATAGTATATATTTTACTTTATAATAAAACTTGACAAACGAAATTTAAATATCCCAATTTCTCAACTATGTTTCTATTTGGGTATGGGCTCATTCTTCACTTTCCCAAAATCCAGTCCAATCCTGACCCTCTATACTTTTGACGTACCTTCAAAATAATGCGACACTTGACACATCATCGGTTTAGTCTGGTCGTCAACTTTTCACAAGCAAAACTCTTTAGGCCATTGTCGACTAATTTCAGAGTGAGTAAGTTCCTTAATAGCAGCTTTCATAAATCCAGCACAGACCGAAGTCCAGAGTCTAAGTGGCACAACACATCGAATTGGTTCACAATGGCACATAGACCGGTCTAAGCTTTTATAGAGTTCAAGAAGCGTTTTTTTTTTTTTTTTTTGATAACTCAGGTGATTCTAAAAGTTTTCTAACCCAAAGATTAATCCTGGGGTCCAGATCAGAGAAATCATGTTAAATTTTTCGAACCCTGGTGGCTAATGCTACTCGAACCTAGGTGGCGAAATTACTTGCTTTTACCACTAGACCAAGGCGATCGACTTGGTTCAAAATGCGTATTTGATTTCGTAAGAATTAACTATTTAGTTACTTTCGGAAAAGTTTAAGCAATTTATATCCCTGAACACAATTGTCGATCATACCACAAGGAAACGAGAGAGAAAAAAATTGCTCTCAAGACTCTTGTTGTTCGAAAAAAAAAAAGAAAAGCCGTAACTAAAAATGAAACATAAAAAAAGAAACAAGAACAAAAGCAAAAAACAAAATCGACCGATAAAAAGGCCCTAATTAACTAAAACATATAAAAAATGTTATTGCCTATTGTCAACGTTGCTCGTCGTAACATTACTGTTATTGTTGTTCCCATTCTGCTGAGTATTCGAACCGTTGATAATAGAAGTTATGGCTGCAGCTAGAGCCGCTGCAAAGTTGGGATTGGAGGCGATGGCGGCAGTAGCGGCGCTAACGCTCTCGCTAGCGTTTAGCGGCTGAGACGGCATATGTAAACCCGAGAACTTAGACTGTTGGTTGTAGTACAAAGCCTGACCCATCATATGAGGCAAAACCGATTGGTTCAACTCCGTGAAACCAGACCGTTGAGAGAATTGCATCAGCGGGTTATTGGTTGGATTGTTACCGTTGGATGAGTCTGTGAGGTCTAATGTAATGGTTGGGAATGGTGCCGAGGCTGAGATAGTCGCCATGCTTGAAGAACACGGTAAGATGGTTCGAGCCAAGAGATTTGTTGGGTTCATTAAACCGTCTTGGTTCGACATTGTGGAGCCTGAGAGGAGCATGCTTGCGGCTGCGGTTGTGGTTGAAGCCATGTTCATAGCCGCGGGAGGTAATGGATGGTTATGGTTTCCTTCGTAGGTTGTTATGAGAATGGTTCTGTCTTCCGCGCAACGTTGCACCTGTTAGGTCATCATCAGTTAGTTAGAATACATTAATCAACATATATTTGTACACTTGATTGAACCTTAAAACATATTAGATGTGTGAAATGTTTAGCTAACGTACTTGCTTGCGAACGGGGCATCCAACAGCCATTGTGCAACGGTAATAAGCTCGAGGGCACGGGTTTCCTTTCGCCATTTTCTGCCCGTATTTTCTCCATTGACATCCATCGCTTAACTGTAAAACAATGTCATTGATGTTAATTAACCTCCAAAAAAATTGTAGAGATCAATTCTAGAGAGCAAGATTAATTAGTATTACCATGTTAGCTTCCGATCGAGCACGAACCGAGACACGGGCTTTACGCATGGTGGCTTCCGCGGCTGCTTGCTCGATGACCTTGTTACTTGTATTTTCACTGCCATTGCCACCACAATTGCTGGAGGATGCATGGTGTTTAGGAACTTTGTTAGGGTTTCTCCAGCCGTTGGATTCGGTTTCTGGGCTTTCTTCTCTTACAAGCACTCTCTTTCCGTTTTGACGTGAGCTAGATTTCTCTAGAAGCGATGGAGGAGATCCTGACCGAACCGTCGTCCTCTCCTCGGAGGAAACTTCATCTGACTGCGGTCCCAAATCGATGAACTGTCTCGGAACCATTTCAGGCACTTCATGTCGGTTCTTGGCGATGTCTTTGTTCTCAGTTGTAACCTGGTGAAAACAAGAGTTTAAAACCTTTAAGTATTTCAACTTGGGAGGATTTTGATCGGTATTTGTTAGTTAATTAATTACCAGGTGATGATGATCTTCTTGTTGCCTCATGACAGCAACGAGCTTCATCTGCAAGGAGTTGAAGTTGTTGGTTGTTTGACTTAGCATTTCCTTTAGTCTTTGATTATCTTCACTCGCCTTCTTTAGCTCTTCTCGAAGTTGTGCATTCTTCATTTTATCAAAGAAAACCATATATCAGATATTAAATAATTATAGTAAAAAAAAAAAATGTAAATCTTTCTAAAATGTCTATCTTACGAACCAATACTAACAAAAATATAAAAATAGATTGTCAAAGTCTATTTATACCAATTCTAAAGAAATAAAAAGTAATTGGTAGAGAAAATAAAAAAAATAACTATAAATGGTTAAATATGAGGAAAATTGAAGATGAATGGTAAAATATCCTGAAGATTTAGTACAAAAGTATACCGTCTTAATGGATTTTGATAATCTTGTTTTTTTTTGTTGGATTTTGACAATCTTTTGTTTTGTTCGTATTGGTTAGTACGATAAACATTTCGGTGTTTTATTTATTTTTTCAAAAATGAGCTGTACTAATTGAATAATAAGTGTACCTCACACTTTGTACGTTTCTCTTCCATATCCACAGACAATCCATCATCCACCATTGACTCGTCGCTTCCCGTATTCGCAATGAGAAGATTAAGTCCAATCTATTTACAATAATCATACAAATTTCAGTGAACAAAGTTTCCATCTATAACGAAACTATCATTTATAATTTTAGTTATACAAAAATCGATAGGAACGGTAAGAAAAATATAATAAATTGAGATTAAAATGATGAAGTAATCAAATTACTTACATTGATATGATCCGTAGAACGATCTTCATGATCATCAACACGTGAATTCTCCCTTTTAACATGAACCCTATGAGTCTCATCGGCGATCATATCTTGATCATCACGTGAAACCCTATCTCTCTTCTCCGCCGATCGGAAAAAGTCAACCTCATCCACCACCGCCCGATGATGCTGCTCATCCAACGGCTTTGTATTGTCACGTGGACCTCCTCCAAGACTTACCGGAAAACGAAACATCTCTACGTAGATATCTTAGATTGTGTTTTTCTTTTTTGTTAAAAAGTATGAATGAGAACGTACGGATAAAGATTTGCTTGATGTTAAACTTTGATATCCAAAATTCCGAAACCCTAGTAAAAAAGAGGATATGTTACGTATCTAATCCTTGATCTAGAGTGTGTTTTGTGTGTGAGTGATTGTTCCGTACCATATCTAATCATCCATATATAGAGAGGTGAAGAAGAAGATATCTTAGAAGAGAGAGAAAAGAGAGATACTTTGTCGAGTATGTGGTTAGAGACGAGGATAGAGAACCAGATGCTTCGGCTACAAAAAAGGTTTTGACGTGGACTCAGATATTGTCAATTTTTTCTACTAATATATAAATATAACGTTCTCTCGTCTTTTTTAATAATAATATTGTTATGTAAAGACAATATTGTTGTATGTCTATATTTGTTTTATGCCTGTTTCCACATAATAATATCGGTTTTAATTTAGATTCTCGTGGAAAGATATTTGTGAAGATTTGTTTTGGTTCGTTTTTCGTCAGTGTCGACGTCATATTAGAACCATATTATTAACAAATAAATCATGCGATCCAACCATTTTGTTTTATACATTACAGACGTGTTGTTGGATCAAACAATTCGAAAAGAGTAAAACCAATCAACTGTTGCCTACCAGAAGAGCTGTGCTTTTTCTTTTGGTTTTTTTTTTTTGTCAACGAGAAAGTATGATTTATTAAAGAAGTTATTTTTTAACGCCACTCCTTGCGGTTTTGCTGCCCTTCTTAAAAATTGGGTTTCATTCTTCTCGTAAATTAATAAATTTGTAGAAATGTACTTTTGCATTCTTCTAGACTTTTATTTGCTGATGTTATTTTAGTAAACTCTTCTCCTCATAATTAGGTAATCAATTGTGGAGTTATTTTTAATAAATGTGTGGTTGATAAAAAAATAAAATTCCTTTTCGTAATCAAGCAAAATTTTATAATTAGTAAAATAACTTGTTATCGGGTAAAATAACAAATACATGTAATATATTAAGGTGTACAATTTTGTTTTCTGATAATATAGTGTTAATATTATTTAAACTCCAATAGTGCGTAACGATAACACTACCAATCACTGGAGTATAAAACCTCGTTAATCAGCCATAAAATTATTTCTGTGTAGACAAGAGGTGATGTCATTTAACTGGTTAATGGAAAATAGCTAGCATTTTGTACTAGAGCGAAGCGGAAATAATACATGAAAAACTATGATATTTGATAAAATAACATGTTATCAGGTAAAATAGCAAACACATATCATCAGAAAAATACAAAAACTGCATGTTTTCTAAAATAGTGTGATATCCGGAAAATTAACGTATAATTTATTTAAATCACCCTTAAAACATATTAATTATATTAAACTGTAATCATTCAAAAAGTCAAGTTAACTGATTAGTTAATGGAAATGGTTAATTAGTCCATTTACTCTAATAAATTGATTAGGAAAATAAACAGAGAAAACGAAATTGAATTTTGAGTTAATTAAAAGTTAAAAATTTGATTAGGAAAATAACTAGTAATTTAAGTGACAAAAAATTAAAAAAAAAACGAAAGTTATTTTAACTAATAAACAGATATACAGAAACAAAAAAGTATTAAATTGGTAAATTATCCTAGTATTATATGTATGTTTTTATAAGGGTTTAGTTATATATATTGAGATTACATAAAATACTATTGACCAATCTACTCTACTGAAGAATCTCACCTAAGAATTTTGTTTTCTAAAAAAAGCACTCTAATCTACGAAATGTTTTCAAAGACTTTGTCCTAATTAGTAAAACTTTGAATCCTTGGTTGATCTTGATCAAGTCAATATATGAGCCTTAGATAAGAAAAAAACTATTTTTAGGAAAGATTTTTTCACATAATTGTCATTATAGATTTTCTATTTTTTGGACTAAATTACTTAAAATTAATTTTCTTTTTCCCTTTTTCTATTAGAAAGACTTTTGACTTATTCATAGAATTAATAGATCAGAAAATAGAAATGAATCTCACCACCGTTCGCAATTCAATCGCCGCTTCCCACGTGATTGAAATTATTAAAAGCTTTATTTCAATTTAATTCCCTATCAAATAAATCACATAAACTCAAACATGTACGACATTTTTGTTGACTTTTTTTAAGACTCGATACCTTGTATTATTACCTAAACTAAACATGTGTCTAATGTATCTTACAAGCATGAATAAACATTTTATTGTGGTTTTGAAAGATTCATCATATAAATTGAAAGACCAAGGTTTGAGTTGAGCTAACCTATTTTAGATAATATAATATTTCAAGACACTACATATATTTTTTTCATATAAATGATGCAAAAACAAAAACACCAAAGTACTTACTAACATTAGTTTTGCATATATATTTTTCTCCGTAATAAATTAATTCAACAGACTAATTAATATCCTTTTAAAAGACAATAAACAATGGTTAAGCTAAGTCAACGAGATTAATGGAATACCTCACACATTCCTGACCGGTGACTGGCTATGAGTCCCCACTTAATTTTCTATAAATAAAGTGATGCTTACCGGTTAACCTGTTGACTATCACACCGTCGGACCCGGCCACTCTTTGACTTTTCAGCCTCAAGATGAAGAATGGTCTCTTTATAATACTTGAAAAAGTAATATACTATATATGAAAAAATCATTAGTTTTAACGTTTGGACTTGTTTTTCTTTAAATCCGAGAATTTCGAAATGAATTCAGAACTAGTATTCGAGTCATATGGAACAACTAATTATTCTTTCGTTCTATTACCACCACTCTTTGCGTGTAACTAAAAATTTAAACAACATAACATACATCTTATATATAGTCTATAGACTATATTTAGGATTATGCATAAGCTTTTATAGGTCATAAGCAAACTAATTTACTACGTATGTGTACTAATGTATATAGCTATCTATAAAATTTCTAAATTTCTTGGAAGATATATAGTTCTTAAGCATTGTGAATTCAAAGTATACATCATAACCAGATACAAGACTAAACTAACATTTTTGATGGGTTACTCTAACTTCAGCATAACTTGCCAATTGTCTGTTTTTTATAAATAAAATAACTTGTCAATTGTCATATATGGATTAGACCGACCACGCCCTAATTATTTTATGTATTAAAATTTCTAGCAACTCTATTGGTCCACAATTTGTTTTCAGTCATAAGTTCATAATAATAAAAATCAAGTTTAAAAAAAAAAAGGTTCATAACAACCGTAAATTGGCACATGCATGTAGTGGTAGCTCGTAGTAAGACTCAAATAACTTATATATCTAATATACAATATTCTTAATATTTTTGAAGACTAATTCGAACCCTAACTAAAATCTAAAACCTAGAGTTTAAATGTTTAATAGGCCGATCAAACTTCAACCCAGATTATCTATCAGCTTAACACACACACACACATATATATATATATATATATATATATATATATTTTGCTCTAGTGTATGAACACATATTTAATTAGTATATTCAGTTTGTTATCTTTTTCCCGACAAATTATTTTTCTTATCAATATTCGAAGACTGATTATTCTAGATAGTCTAAAAACAATAATACTATTGTTTGCATTGGTTGAACATTGAATCTAGACCTAATGATCTCAGGGAAAAAGTATGTTGTGGACATTAAAATAGTAAATAGAATTATACAACTATAAGAATCCTTTTTTTTAATATTAGAACCTTATTCATTTGGATCGAGTTGGAGATTTGCTCTCTTTTAAAAAAATATCTTATGCGGCAAACTGAACGCCGGAGGAAGCATGTCAACTATCATGATTCATGACTCATTAAACTGATTTGGCAATAAACTATTAATTTAGACTAGGTAAACAAAAATTATTAGGATCGAGTTAATTAGAAAAATAAAATCTCAGCCAACCAACAGATGGAATTGACCAATGACCATTCAAAGTGGTGATGTGTAATTGAGTTGATAGCGAAATTCAGAAACGTTTATAAAATACAACCTTTTTTTTAAGTAAGAGTTTGTGATGGACCTAGATTTGTATATCTTTAAGATAGTAGATCAGATCAATATGTAATATGGTCATTTACCTAGCGCAATTTAAACTCTCGAACCTCGATTTCTAGATACCAAAATTCCGTCGTCAATCAGCTGATATGCTTGGTTATAAAATACAACATTTTCCTTTTATCACAATGTTTACAACATTTGCACATTGAAAAATGAAATACGATGAGATAAGAAAGAGGCTATATAACCTATAAATTGAATAAAAGTTTAAACTGAGATATATTTACGATTCAAAACACTTGATCGGACGAAAATTGTTATAAAGTGAAGAAAATAGCTTCTGACAAAACAAAAAACCAATGCATAGATAGGTATATCCGTCATGTAATAACAGGGAAAGTTTTTCTTCTCTAACAACGGAGAGAGCCACAGTTCCACGGTGACGCGGAAGACGCAGACGTTCAAATATCTCTGTTGTATAATCAAAACTGACTAAGAATGTACCGAGGTGTTTCTCTTTTCTATCTTCAGCAAACCAATAAGTCTTTCTCTTAAAAGACACGCTGTTATAATACACTAAGTAACAGTCTAGAGTGACGTCAAGACTCCTCCATGAATTATACTTAATCTCATAAAATTGCGAATTCTTGCTTGTCACTATTACAAAAGTCACAGCTCAATATTTTGTAGCTATTATTATTTCCGGATTTCTTGTCTTCGGAGGATCCCAAAGCTTAGGTTGTGTAGTAGCCTCCATTGTAGGGAGTTTTCGGTTGGATCCACTTAGTTTGACCGGTACACGGTTCCAAATTACGAGATGTGGCCGGAACGTGACAAAGAATCTCCTCTACTATATATCCCATGGAAGCTCCAACATCGTCATAGGTGCGGTTTGGTTTGTTTACTTAGGGTTTTTAGTTACCTCCGAAGAGTAATAATAATTCGTAAATATATAGTTTTAAATTTCGGTATGGTTCGGGTTGGTTCGGTCTGGTTCATTTTGGTTCGGCTTGA